CCACACAGGTGCCATGTTTTACAACACCACTATATCTTGTCATTCAGAAGTGCTCCCTCAACAAATTGCCTGTCATATTTAAAGATAAAATCTGACAGTGCCAGAGCTGACAACCAGTCCTCAACCCTGACATACAACACGGAGCTGAATTTTGCTAGATTCGCTGTAGATGGATTTGTCTTTAGAGATTCACAGCAAAGCAAACTGCTGGCAGAGCAGCAAAAATTATTTCAAAACATTGCTACTAAGTGTCAGACTTTATTAAATGGTTGCTTTAAAAAGGGAAGGAAAGGTTCGGCGGTAGTCTTAGAGGAGAAATGTACAGAAACGTTTTATACATATTTCACTTCTCTGTAAAATAATGATGTACGGTGTTTCTAAATAATAGAAAATCCTGCGCTGCATTTCAGGAAAGGTATTTTCATTACTCCTTGGCACTGTGATATATTTACACTGCAGGAGCCTGTATTCTTTTATCTTTTACCCGGTGAGGCTCTGAAAGGAATGTGCAGTAAATATGAATTAAGGAGGAATGATGCAGCCGGTTCAGTAATTACAGACTCGGTGCTCCAGTGGTTACTGGTGCAAGCATGGAGGGTTTGCCTTGGATACACCACCACTGGTACATCAGTGCTGTTCCCTGCGGGCAGTACTGAGGGTTATTTGGTTCTGTTACGTGGCTGGAGAACAAGCCTTGCAGCGGCAGGTGGGCAGAAGCAGGGCAGGCACTCAAGAGGTTTGTTATCGCTCCACCCAATCACTGCCTCTAAGTCAACCCCTTCCGAGTTTGGGGTTCTGAGGTTCCCCTGCTCCTGCAGCTCTCTGTAACCATTTTGTGCCTGCATTAGATCACTGCACACTTAGCTCTATCCACCGAAAGCAAACTTTGGTATGTAGAACGAGAGATTTTTCTCTTCCTGCTCATTATCCATTGAGCTCCTGAGTTCTGCACGTGCCAGATAGAAACATCTGCTGTCAGCAGCAGCAGCACCCAGCACAGGAAGACTTTACCCACACGGAGACACCCCTCACTTTCTCCAACAGAACAGCCACCTACCCACACTTATTTTCTCTCTCAAATCTGTTTCCATAGCACGGATCTCTCTACATGTCACTGGAAAAGCTCCCTGAGTCATCCTACTCTTCCTACATAGCATGGCTCTGCCTTTGCAATATTGTTAGCAAAAGCTGTAACTGTCATTCTCCTGGGCTGCGTCAAATCTTATCTAAGGATGGATCTTTTCTCAATTTCTCTTAGAGCCACTTTGCCCGGGAGAGAACCAATCCATTACTGGAAGGAGACGCCCTGACCCCATTAGCTGGGCAGACGTGTGTTTGATCTGGAGACCTCTGAGCAAACTTAATCCAGGATGAGCAGCTCAGGCCGCTGCGTCAGGCAGGGCGCATCCTCAGCCATCCTCCAGGTGCTGCTCTGTACACAGGGGCAGTGTGCAGCTGAGATGTTGCTGTGCCCACGGTGTGATTAAAATGAGTGAGCATAAAGGTATGCGGTTAAATAAAAAAGCCTGGGAAGCGTTACCTGTTTAAAAATCAGCATTGGAAAGGAATTCCGTATGGTCTGTGATTCTCATATTAGCATGTACTAAAAAATTAGCACTCAACATGGAATTTTTAAAAAAGATTGCTCCGTTCCCAGCCTGTTTTATTTGTGTTTGATTCCAGCCCTCTGAGAATTCCGAAGCTGCATAATATGAGAGTTTGTAACCTTTAAAAGTGGAAATGTCATAACTTAGTCTTAGGTAGTTAATTGCGGCCCTGACTGTAATGAAACTGCTGTTGCCCAACAAGCTTTGCACTGCATTGATTTTTCTTCTATCAGCTGGGAGTTCTGGTAAAAGAACAATAGATCTAATAACATCAGCAAAGCAAAAGAGAGTAAGAAATAGTGAGCTCTTCAAAATAAGTAGGTCAAGCCACAATCAATTTCCAGATTTGAAATTATGCTTCTAAAATGTATGTTTAATACAGGACCTCGTTCTATGTCTATCAAGTCAGAGCTTGTAAGGTTTAAAGTTCCCAAACAACTGCTTTATCAGGTAGCCCGGAGTTAGGCCCCAGAGGTTAAGCAATAAAAGAGAAACCAAAATACCTTAACAGTTGGTGCAGCTAGTTGAACCCAGCAACAGCTCCTTATGCAGCTTCTACATTCCCGGGGTTCAAAATGCCAAAAGGCTACAAAAATCCATTGAGAAGCTATGATTTGCCAAGTAGGATTTCACTTCCTTTTCTTCTTAGAAGTTATAAAATTTATTAGATGTTGGTAAAGTCCTTGTGAACAGAAAATATAAAGGCTTATAAAACAGTGCTTACTATTTGCACCCGAATAATTAAGATGTAACTAGGAATAGGATGAAAACAGAAGCCTGATTTACAAAGTGCCATTAGTTTCAGAGTGATAGTGATACTTAAGCAACAAATTTCACACATACCTGTTGAAATAAAATATAATTGTGTAGAATAGAAGTATTTATGGAGGATATCATATAGATCAGCTCAAAACTTGCATGCATGGTCTGTTTAGTTGGAAAGGACTCAATTACAAACTCACCTGCTGGAAAAGCATGTATCCAGAGTGACATCAACTTTCTCTATTTCTTTTTTTTTTCCTATTTACAAACTCAATGAAGATTTCTTATTTTGAATTTGTTATTTTTAATTTGAATCATCCTGGAATAAAAAAGCTGACATTGTAAAAAATTTGTAGTAAAAACAAATTCTAGTGTCACTGTGTGACAGCAAAGTAAAGACACTGATTGATAAACCGCAGACCTGCAATGCAATATAACTTGAAACTTCTTAGTTCAGGAATTCTTATATCTGAATGGATGGGAGAATATATTTTAGTTATAGGATAGTGTTTACGTATACAATCTGTGGAACTCCTGTGTGCAGAGTCCTAACTGTACGTACAGGGCAGTAGAATCTTCACAGTGAAAAATAAACAAGTCTCTCACCCCGAAGAGGATTTAGGTTTGTATGATGGATTTGATACAGAAAGAATACAGGGGCTTCTCCTTGGGAACACCTCCTTCTCACTGAACCAACAAAAAACCATGATGCATCTCAAGTATTTGGAATTAAACTTTTCTATTTTCTTCCTGGCTTTAAATATGCTGAGCTATTTTTTCCCTTTAGGGTCTGGCTTGCATGAGAGGCTTTGTAAGCAAGTGCTTTCCAAAGGCAGGCTTTCACTTCTACTTTTTAGAGGACAGCTTTCTCCCACAGCGCAGATCAGCTGGTGCAGGAGCTATTGGGCTGTTTCTACCCCATCCAGTATGAGTACCTGGCCCTCACCAGCCACCAGTGCAGGGGAGGCATCCTGATTAGTCTCTGCCTCATTTAAGGCAAGCTGTTCTTGACTGCAGAGACTGAAAGAATGCCTTACTCTCCCCAGAAGATGCCTATTTTTGAATGAAGAGGAGCAAAGTCTCCTTGTGTTTGCATACACCCTGTAAAGACCCCCTGAGGACTGCACCTTTTTTTTGGCAAGGTCATTAATGCCATGTATTTTGCCCATTTTTATAAAAAGATAAAGAGAGTGAAAATCTAGGTAACCTTAAGCTCTGAGAGAACCACAAAAAAAAAAAAGGATCAGTTTAAGGAAATCTTGATGCAAGGGAAATTCACCTTGGTCTTGCTAGGTAAATGTAACATATATAACAATGAACTGTTAGAAAATGTGTAAAAATAGTTCCGGTTTCCTGAAGTGCCTTTTATCCAGTTACCCATATACTTACTTTTGGCTACACTTCTGAAGCCAAGGAAAGAATGTTCTAGGCTAAGAAATCAGATTTCATAGCTCCTGGAATGGATGCTTTGCTGACTCTCAGCTGGAGAATATGTGAATGGTGCTTTCTGTCAACTCTTTTTGGCTAGAAGATTCCATTTAGTCCTGGCAGGGAATGACCAGGCCATCATTCTTCACACTTGTGTCACCTCCTGGCTGGCATCTAGTAATGCAGAGTAACTAGGCACACGAGTTACGGTGTTAAGGACGCTCCAAGTAACACAGAGCACTGCAGTGCATCTTAGCATCATGGGCACACGTACTTCAAATCAGCCTGCTGTGCTCTACAATGGCATTCTTCAGAGCACCAAATGAGATCTGCCTGTATCTGGCTTAGCATGGACTTCACGCTTCCTTTGAGGTAGTAGAGACCTGCACAAAATCTAGAAACAACAGACATCACAAACCTCACCATTTTTTATCCTATGAGCAATACACATTTCTTTGATATTGTCTTATTTAATGTGACTATATGTGTTTTCCATTGCAACTTCTACTGCAAAAACCACTGCCCATGCTTATACGCTCAAAAAAGGTTGATGCAGTGCTGGTAGGCACTGCATTCTTAGTGCTCACGTAAGGTAAGAGTTTGTATTGAATATGGGAAGCGTAAGGTTGCACAGTCAGAAGAATATCTTCTAAATATAGTGGAAGAGCTACACATTTGTACTGAGGGAAGCACTATTATGGGGTGTGCATGTGGGAAAGGTAGACATGTCCACTTATAGTATAAGTCTTACCAAAGTAAAAGAAATTAATCTGCCTTCCAGACCAGAAGATAAGTGCTATAGTCAAAATTTAATTCAATGAGTTTCAATGATAATATAAAAGTTCCCTATTACCTTTCATCCATTTCCAATCAATAAACTGTCAGCATCATTAACAGGTGGGAATACCTATGGCAACTGACTTGGAGTTGCAGAAGAGTTCAGGTAGAGGGAGATGCCCCACTGAAGAGCAGGGTCAGTGCTCCTTTGAGTTTGCTGCTTTGAAGAAGCTTACCTCCCACTAATCAGCATAGAGGAATCTTACACAAAATTAATTTGCTCATGCACCTGAATACTGTGAAAAGTACACTTCTCTTAGTCCTTCTTCTTCCACTCACTGCAACAGTGAAGAATTGATGATAACAGCTAACACACTCTGGAGGACAAACGACAGACAGCAGATTCTTTAAGTAATTTATTTTACAAAAGCGAGTAAAGTAGCAAATATATATAATACAAACTTAAATATCACTCTACATTTCTCAGTGTTACATAAATAGTCTTTAATACAAATCAGATGTAGCAATACCAAATAAGCAACATGAGCAAAAACATCCAAATAAATTGGCTGGAAAATAAATGCATTTGAATGAATGCTATCTGATACTTACTTTATATGCTTTCTTGCTTTAAAGCCATGTCAGTTTAACAAAGAACAGAACTTGCTAATAACAGTACTGTTAATAATGAAACAAATGGGAAAAAAAGGGCATTGGTAAGCAGAAGGGAAAGAACAGCAATGAAACGATCGTGGAATGCTTTGATAATGTTTGAGTAATAAATTACTGGGATGTTCATCAAAATAACTAGGGAAGTAGTGCTCTCAGTAAAGTATTACCAGACTACAAAATAAGTACCAGACAAAAAGTGCTAACAGGTGCATAGCAAGCATTCCAGCATGTTCCAGCAATGCATCTTCACCTTTTCTTAAGAGTTTCCTAGTACAGCAGTTCTGTCACCTTGGGGGCTACCCAATGAGCATATTTAAAACACAGCTAAAAGAGTGCGGGCTGTACTTTAATACTCTTGCATATTCTCCATGGAATAACTTAATAGTCCCAGTAAAATTCACTTTTTCCCATTGAGAGCTCGGGGACTTGGAAGGTAACTAAAAGATTCACTCAAAAGTTTAATCAAGTATTAGGAAGCCTGAAAGACCTCCGTTACACGAGATGGATTATCACATGCTATGCCATTAAATAATACGTTAAATGTTGTATGAGGGAGAAGGATTCCAGCTCCACTTTCAAATGTATCTTTGGAGATAAATAGTTCTATGAGAGCATCCTTAAGCTGTAAGTGGAGCTGATTAACTGGAAGTAACTGAGACATGCCAGCAATGAGGTATCTTGCACACTCTGCTGCAGCACTAGCGCTCAGAACATGGCCACACATCTGACTTCCACCTCAGTTTCTCTGCGCAAAGCATCCTGAGATATTAACCTCAAAAGTCACTTAAATATATTACTGTCATTAGCTGTTATTTTTTTCCGGTGAAACTTTTGAGCAAAGGACTTTGGTAAATGTCTTCCCATTCCATTTGCATCCTTGATGGATGCAAGGAAAGGAAACAAATGAAGAGGCATTTCTGAGAACATAAAGGTTATTTCAGTGTGTTCACTTTTTCCTCTTTTACACAGATATTCATGTTTCACAAGAAACCAAGCTTCTCAGGACTTGCTGATAGTAAAAAGCCTTAGTTAACATGCTCAAAGTTGTTACTACTCAGAGAGAAATAAATGTACACTGTATTAAAAACAATCATCCCAGCCCTTTAATGATTGGGTAGTTTAGCTTTGAATGCAGTTCAGCCTAATAGAGGTTTTAATGGCTTTTGACAGATTGTTCCACTGATCAAGGGCCATGTATGAAAATAACTGCCTACCAAGCCCTGATTTGATTTTAAGAAAAGAAAACTGAAGGTTAATGGTAAACAGAAGTTGATTGTTCACATTTTCAATGAAATAACTCTATCTGACCTGTTCTTAGAACCGGTGAAATAAAGGATAATGGGAATCCTATACACCTGACTTTTTACTTTAGCCTCTAATCAAGGAGACTAATCAGACCAAGATGTGTTGGCATGAAAGCAAATATTTGGTGATATAGAGGGGGAGGAGAGCAACGTTTTGTCCAAATTCAGCACTGTAAAACCAACAGGGTATTAGAGGATGTAAACTGTAGACTAGTATGTCCTGTTCTATCATGTGAATTGAGTGCTGTCACCAAAGCAATGAGGAGATGAAGCATAATTTTCATGTCATATGTGAAGCACTCACTGCCAAACATCAGCATTTTAATGTGCTCATTTTATCAGTGATCTGATGCCTTTTATTTCACATATTGTTCAGCCAATTCTGTAGCTTAAGTACAGTCATTTTGCAAATGCATACATTATCTTCTCTTGTTCAATGAATACCCCAGGTTAAGGTGAATAGGAGAGATGAATGCAAATTGTGATGCCTGGTAACATTAAAGGTGATGGGTTTGAGTTTGTACTAGAAAGACAAGTTGCTATTGAGGATTGCCTCTGCTCTGGTAGTAGGGTGAAGTGATCAGTATAGAGCTGAGCTTTTTGGCCTGCTGTGGGGAGTGCAGTGGTCTTTAAGGGGAAAAGGAGCTTTCCTGCAGACAGTGCCCTGTTTGTCTGGCCCTTCCCTATGGCAGCTCAGCAGCCCAATGGGGCAATGCAGATGATGAGTTCCAACAACTCAAATCTCAACAGAAACAGATTTGTGGAGGCACTCAATCCACAGAGGTATGGTAGGCCAGAGGTGTGCTAGGACAGATATGGAGGCTCAGCTTGTTCCTGCAGTATACGAGTGCTCTTCCCAACTCTGTAATCTTGGCAGAAGAAGGTAGTGGTCACCTCCTACCGAAGAGATGTGGACCAGCTGCTGGGGGCATGAGGAGGGTTAAGGACTGAACATTAACTGTGCATCAGGTGGTAACAATCAAGGGAGAGGTCATGGCCTGCACTGTACAAGTTACTGCTGGATGATTCCCATATGAGTTAACGTAATAAAGTTTTGCTCTTGTGAATGCACATCCCTTGCATCTCATTTCTCTTCTCCTCTCATCCCACCTTTACCATCAGCTAGTTTAATCTCTGATACATCAACCCAAATTCCACCGTGTGTCACAGGACTAGAGGAACTGCACTGCACCGACCGATAAAGGAGCAGTGTCCGCTGTTAACACACTGTAATATTTTAGTTATCTTTTGTGTTAGATTTTTGTATTAATTCCTCCTTTTTTGCTGCAATATGGTACTGGAATTCCTGAGCCTGTCCCATAGCAATTAGAAGTCTAGCATGACTTTCAAGTACATGTTGCTAAGTAAATCTACTTCATTATCTGTGAAACTGAAGACTGCATCTAAATGAGAGTGAGACAACTGATTTGAGTATTTATTATGCTACAAGTTACCTATCCTTGGCAATTTCTGTTTGATGAGTACCCATGGCATTCTTATTTTCAATTTAGATAATCAGGATCTTCTGTAAAGTTCAGAGCATAAGCACGATGTCTTTAAAATTTAGCGCACCGGGATTCATATTTTTTATTTACTTAACCTTTTAACAACAAGAAACGACCTACAAGATAAAATATTTCCATATGCAGAGATATGAATGAAGCATTATTAAAACATTTCTAATTTACATGGCATAACACAGCAGTTTTCTATCAAATACTTATAAATGGCCTTTACCTTTCATCCCCCACATTACAGAAACAATAGAAGTTTTTCATTTTCTGCCAACATTTTCTTTCTACAAGTGCAAAACGAACTCTATCACATTTTTAAAGAAATCCTTTGCCTTGAGCATTTCATTTGTATTGGTTCCATGTTTAGTCAGTAGCTTTTGTAAAATTGATGAATATTGTTTAAAGGCAAGAGCAGACAGGCAAACTGATCTGTATCTTCTGTAACCCATTTTGCCTGACATGCATGTGCAAGTGAACTATTTCACCTTAATTCTTTCATGACTGATGAAAAGTAAATGTACACAAAGCCATGAACTTTCCCATTTTAAAAGAATAGCTGAATCTAACGTTAGAAGTTAATTTATGCTCTCACCTCTTCCCTGAAACAAACTGACCTTGGTCCTCATGCATCTAGAGCATCCAGACTTGGTAACCAGCTGCTATACACAGAACATCCAACAGGGGCTGTGCGTTTCGGCTCATCCAAAACCATACTGCATTACCTAATGCTGGAATATAAATGGACTGCTGAAGTATCACTGCAACATGAACTATATTATGTATAAAATAAAGAAAACTTCAAAGTATTTCTCTGCTTCTAGTATGTATCTCAAGCAGAGCAACAATTCATGCTTGGTCTTTCAGTTTTCTTTTACAGATATTTACCTTTAACCACGTTCTTCTCTTGGGACACCCTTTGGCATTCCTATATGCTTCAAACAGTTCCATCAACCTTACCCATGTCTTTGCCATCAACTCTTCTGGGCTTTGGAGAGATGAAACCTCCTTATACTTCTGCCTTTCAACTGAATTCAATCATGTTACACTGATTCAGATGATGTGAGACTTGAATGCAACACAGAGCTTTAATTCTCTTTAACCACTTGATTATTGGTATTTTGCCAGTGAATCTTAGGTCTCATCCATTCCAGAATTTTTCAGTTTTCTGTCATTGCCTTGGCTTAAGTGAGTGCTATATGACTGGATTGAGGCTAGAACTAGTTTAGCTAGTTCACTAGCTTTAACCCTCAGCATAGACAAAACCTAGAATCACGTAGTTTTAAACACTGTGTTATTGCTGCCAGCACTCTCCCAGTACAAGAAAATAAAACAGTGTTGTTTCACTGCTGCTGGAAATAATTATTTGCCAATGATTTTTTAATAGCTTCCACTTCAGCAACAACATTGCTGTGCCTTCTCTACCCTTTATAGCTGTCGGATTCATTTCAATACTGTGATCCCCGTGGTTTTCAGCAGCGCTTAATTAAACACAAACTAATCATGAAGTAACAGCATAAACAAACAAACAATTCCCTCAAACCCTATGTTAACAGTGTTACATCATTAGCTCGTTTGATCTCATCTTACTCACTTCCAAAGTAGTATTTGTTTCTGTGAGAACTGCCTTTTCCATAAGCAGAATTCCCACATCCTCATCTCTTTCTCTAGCTTTTCTCTAGGTGATATCCAAAGTAAACACTACTTAGCGTGGCATTCATCCAAATATATGCTATCTGCCCACTAGTAAAGCCAGCTTTAGCTAGTGTAGGAAAGAAAAACTATATCCCTAACAGAGTATTTCAAAATTTTAAGAAATTTATTGAGTGGGAAACAACAGATAAATGTGCAGATCAAGGTTATAATGTAATTAAATCTAATTTAAATACTTTATTCTTCAAAGAGTTTATTTCCTTCTACAGGGTGGCTAACAGCTTTAGCAGAAGGCAGGGAACACAACGAAAAAGCTTCATCCAGGTCTTCATACTTTTGCTGGCATAGCTGTGTTAAAGGTGTTAAGAGGTACAACCTCTAGTTGATATAATTGTCCTGGCAAAAGCTGGTAGGTGTGGACAGAGTTTTACACCACTAAAACTGAATTTTTGCTGGCACAGCTTCCTTAGCTGCAGGGAGGTCTGGCGTATGTTATACTGTCAAATGTACAGTTTTCAGCAGTACAAGCCCCATCCACACGCAGAACATTTTGCCAATAAAGTATACTGGTATGCTTTGGGTAAGCCTGGCCCCAACAGTGATTTTAAGCAGAAGATTAACACAGGAGGCATATTCTGTTTCTTGGTGGCAATGTCAAGCCCTGAGTCTCACTGTTTGTTTGTTTGTTTTTTCTGTAGTGGTAGTACAGACTGAATGCTGTTTTACTGTAATATAATTTCTAGCTGTTTTTATACAGGGGAAAAGGCATACACAGTTCAAGTCAGAAGAGAACTTATCCAAATGAAAAATCTCTCTCATTCAGGACATCATCCAACACAGAATTGTTCTTTTTATAGCATGTTATTACAAACTAGATCACAAACAGCTTCATTTCTCATAGGCTTCTGGTTTTGTTCTCATGGATAGATCAACACAGATGTTGCAATGCCTGGTGTCATACAAACTAAAACTATTTTGTCAGGGGATCTGACCCAAAATGGAAACCCTAGGTCCACTGGCTCTGGACAATGCACTGGGAAAGCTGGGCTCAGAAAAGAACTATCAATAGGCAGAAATAATGTAAAAGTTAGGAACTGAATTCTGAGTTCCAGGAAACTGAGGCCATGTAGATACAATATTGGAAATCTCTTCCTGACTTAAGCCCTTCGGTCAGGTGTAAAGGACAGATCATCCCATTCTTCTAAAAGAATGGTAGATGTAATTGTGCATCAGTTAGAGCATGACCCTAGCAATGGGATCTTCCAATTTGCCTAAAAGACAACCTGCAAGCTGTCCTGCTGCAACAGTACTGTGCACCCCTTGGGCTGAACCTGAAAGCACTGTCCTTCAAAGGAACATACACCCATGATGTTCCAGGTAGGAGGTTTCTAGTTTGGAAAGTTTTTTTACAACTCCCTACCAGGACAAACGCTGCCAGCTGTTCTCAGTAATATGATATTAGCACGTAAAAATGTGCAGTGCTGAGACTAGCAGGCAAGTCTAACTAGCCCCAAATCTAGACAGTTAAGATGCGTGGCAGGGGAACCCGTGGAAACTCAACTATCCATGGGCTACACTGTCAATGGAAATTAGAGTGGAAGAGGAAAGTCCTGAAGTTGGTGTTCCAGACTTCAGATGTTAAAAGCTGCTTCTTTCTATAGGTTTGGTACCTAGTCTGTTTTGTTGTGACTCAGAAACTAAGGTGGAAACCAATAAAATTTGCATTGAAGCACAAAACAACAAATGACCAAGGAACCATAAAGCAGAAAAGATGAAAGCTGAAAAAAATACTTCAAATGTTGACTATTATTAATTCTAGGCTGGAAGGTGACCTGATATCCTACCTACTGAACAAGATTTTGTAGATGAACAATTACTTCTTCAAGATCAAATGGCAGAGGCATGTTACTTTCTTCATTTGTCCAGAAGGGATGGCATTCTGGCTTCTGCTCTTCTGGCAAGCTCTCTGCTGGTTCTGACTGGCATCTGAAACAAAAGGTAAGCAGAAGAACGACTTAAGTAAAGCTAGAGCAAGAAACTGAATACTCAGCAAGGATATGTTTGTGCAGTAACTTAAGAGAGTGATGAAAAGAAAAGCAGCACATCTTCTGACCAAATGGGCTGTTCATTTACAGTGAAGTTCTCTTCTGTTGTAGGCTTTGTGTTTTCTATAGGGATTTCTCAAAAAGCCAATCACAGAGAAAACTCAGTTAGTACACCTTTATATGGTAAATTATTTTTTCATTATCTCGGCTGTTATTTAAAGCATGTGATTAAACCATTATCAGATTTAAATGTTTGCCAGTTTCCAATGTATTACTAGATTATTGAGAAAGATTAAACTGAATTTACTGCATTAAGGTCAGGGGGGATAGATTAAACAATATTAAAGAAGCCGGACTAGCTTTGTAGATTCTGGAGATTTACAAGTGTATCAACCTGCTTAGCTCTGAAAAAGGCAATATAAAAAGAGAAAATTCTATAAAGATAAATGGAAATGGAGGTTAATAACAACTTCCAACGATGAATAGGTGGGCAAAACTTCAATAAAATTAAATTAAGAGGTTAGCGTATGTTAGTCCCCTGAGAAAATGTTTAAATCACGGTGTTTTTTATTAAATGGATTATTCATCAATACTACTGAAGTCTAATTATAATATTCAGCTGAACTGCAGCCCGCAGAAGAAAGTTTTCGAAGTGGCAACCATTACATCTCTTAAGACTGGGCTGTAATACAACATGCCACCACCAAAATTTGTCACATTTCAATAAGGATTTTTTCCTCCTCTGTTTTCCCATTCCCTCAAATGATCCACACGTTGATTATTCATTAATTAACATTTATAGCAGGACAGGACAAAAAAAAATGCTATGCATTGTTAGAATTTCTGTCTAGACTGCAGGTCAACATAGTTCTTCAAATGTAAAAAAAAACAAATCGTAAACTTTTATCTTGTGCTAGACATTAAAAAAAAATCATGCTTCGTAAAATATTGTCGTGATGATTTAAAAGTTGTTGTAAACATACATATGCATCTTCCATCTCTGTACAATCAACTCTGAAAGTACTGACACATGCAACTTCCTTGTCTACACTGTCAGCCTTCTGGACGTGACTGTTTCCAAATGGAAGATGTCTTCTTCTCTTGGGAATTATTAATGGCAGTGTAATACCCATGAGAAAACATACTTCAGCTTTACACCCATGTTGGTGTGTGGTTAATTGCTGCACCAGCATCCTGGGCACTCAATCCATCGTACATTACACTACAAGGACAGTATTAACACATAACATTCCAATATATCTTCAGCTCTCCACATCAGCCCCTGATAATAGCATCTGTTAACATGCACTAAGTACTATTATGTAGCACATCACTTCATAAATAATAAGATTAGCCGACCTCGGGGCCCTGGGAAGAGTAATGTGTTTAAATGTTCTCATTATTTATTTAAAACAAGAATTAAAGGAACAGAAGCTACTTGTGACAATCCTCTTAGCATAAATATTAAACTGTTTGCATTGATAAGCTGCACTGTACAGAATAACAGAGGATTTGTTTTGCAGGCTGCTTTGTAATAGTTGTTAGAGCAAATGCAGTTTAGTGTACGAGTTTTGAGAGGTACTTAACTGATTGTGCCATCGTGTTCTGAAGACATTTTCCAAATTATATAAAGGAAGAGGAGAAAATTAATATGCAGGAAAAGCTGAAACTAATTACAGCACAGCTCTATGAAGCTTTTAAAATCTTGCTTTATTTTCTGTCTTGGCACACAATAATACGCTCAATTTGCTGGGTAGTATAAGATATTTGAGTCTAAGCATTTCAATCTAAGAGTGGATAAATTAGCCATGTACAGATTATTGCAGATGACAAATCAAGAAGCTCAGCTGGTAAATACTGCAGGCATATTACGTGGTCTGCAAAACTCCATTTATAATAATAAACATTCTCTCACTCATCTGCTATTAACAAAAGGATTTTCACTGAGAGGAAAAGCATACCTCCTAGCTTCTCCACCACTTAGACCCCGTTTTCCTTTTTACCTTCAGCACTTCTTTTTATCCCTTGCCCCCTCTCATAAACTGCCTGTCCCTCACCTTTGGGTTTTGGACATTTGTGTCTCTGTAAATGTGCCAGAAGTCACCAATGCTGCCGTGGTGGAGCAGCCCGTGAGCAGCTGTTCCCTGCACAAGTCTGATGACAAACAAATCAGCGTACTGCAAACTACGAGAAAGGGGAGCAGTGCCTTCATACTCCAACTTCTGCAAACCACAGCTCCTCTGAAGTATTTCTATTGCTTTGCTTTACATCACTAGCAGGAACAGCAGGGAATGTGACCTGTTATTTCCAAACTTGCAATCCCTGTGCACTTATGACCCGCTGGAGTTAATGTCACTGCAGGTTGCCTGCACTTATGGGTGCAGGGCTGGCTCCTGATGACCTGGCATGGCACTATCAGCCCATCACAAGCCTGAATGCATTCCTCCAGGTATATGCTGATCCTCTAGCTCAGAGTTATGATGCAAGAACTGTCCAGATTAATATATTACTATTGATTTTAATAAATTTCTCCACGACTGTGGGAAAAATTGTTCCCATGATGCTCTTTAGTTTGTATCAGAGTTAAGGACTTTAAGAGTCTGCAGAAGGATAAGAAAATTTTCAACCAAAGCAGAGCAATCAAAGGCACTTGAAATCTGAACACTGCAATTATCAAAGTACGGTGGGAGTGGGAGAACAACAAGATTGAAAATATTATACATTAATTCAAACATTATATATTAATTAAAAACCGGTTGAGTTGTTATTAAAGTCAAACCTCTAGAAGAGAGTAAATTTAATGTCTGAATATTGTCTGAACAAAATGTGTTAAGAGTGGAAACACCACATGCTCTGAAATATGGAAGAAAAGTACCGAATTAAGGGGCCTCATTCAAAGCTCAGCTGCAGCAGCAGCAGGAGACAACTACCTGGATATACTTTAGAGCAATTTAGCTCCAACACTTGATAACACAGGTTTACCAGCACATTGGAAAAGGATCATTCGTATGCCTGAAGATGTACAGAATGCACAAAGCTCCACGGTCCCTACCTTCTTGCTAAACCAAACAAAACTGGTGCCAGTTTCAAATTGAAAAGCCTGTATTGAAGGAGCAATGGGCTACTGTTGCCATGCACGTTCTCACCACTCTGCTATGTAAACTGCTCACACATATTTACCAATAGGAGAATGTAGATACAAGTCATGGCAAACTCTCGTGTGACAGTGCATGGCTCCTTCCCTTGGAAGGTGGCTGGTTTCACCACAGCAGGTGTACATTCACTGGAACACAGTTGCTTGGTTCTGGTCCCTTGGGCTGCACTGACATTTTGATGATCAGGGTGTCAGCTACATTAGAGGACACTGATCACAATGCTGAAATTAACCAAGCTAGCTAAAGTGTGTGTTAATTATGAGTATGCAAGCAGTCAATAAGAGGTTAATGCAAAAGTCAAAGGATAAATTTATTTCAGTATTGCATCACTCCACCGGCTAAATGACTAACATTATGCTTTGTTTTTAATCAATAGATTTTACAGTAATGCGTGAGCCATTGATTTGAAAAACATTCTTTCTAACATCTAAGTTTTGCAACTATTTAGTATCAAGTATCAATATACTTAAAACACTTCTTTCAGAGCAGCTACTTTTTGGTTTCAGGGGCAGGAACAGGAAAGCATACAGTGAGAAAGAGGCCTTGGTTTCTGCTGGTGTGTGATTAATGCAAGCAAGAATTATTACCTAAGAACTTTAAATAAAGTAGTGTGAATTAGAGTCCTGGATTCCACTGCACTGTTTGCTCCGCGGGAGCGTAGTCAAATCAGATCAATAGGGGTCAATCTGTGGCTCAGATTGCAGAGGCATGTTAAGTAAGAGATGATCCAAACAGTCTCATTTCCTAGATGGTAGTAATTCAGTTACAAAGGAGACCACGTAGAACTTCACAAGGTAAGTCAAAGAACGTGGGTCTGCCCATCTTCCACATGTACTGGTATGGTCAGAAAGGGAGGGATATGTGCCCTACGTGTGCAAAAGCACACATTCTCCCATACACGCTTACTCCATCATTTCTGAAACTGCTGTTGCTATGTTTTATATTGATTTTCTCCCTCCATTCTTGCTAGAAATAGGCGTTACTGAACTGTTATTCCAAATTCCAAAATATTAAAAAAAACAAAGATGGCCCAGGATAAAAACAGATCACCCTACTAAGATGAACATTAATTGTACACTGTCTAAATGGTACAACAATTATGCAAATGTGTTAACTTTGAACTATTATTTTTTTGTTTAACAGTGGATCTCATTCACCTGTATGGAAAATTCACTTGAGTCAAAGTTGAAACTTCCAGTGATTTCAGCAAGAACAAGATCTAAATTGAATGGCATTGTATCAGCTCGTAAAATATGCACCCAGCAGATGGGATGTCCTGTAACTTCAAAGTAGTCAGAGAGGAAAAAGCAATATTCCAGTTTATCAAGCTGAATGTTTCAGTAAAGAATGGAGAAGCTCAAACTGGTGCTGTATACACATATTCTCCTTCACCTTTGGACATGGACAGGATATTGAAGTAAAGTCTCTAAATAGGATTGAAAAAGTCACCCCTGTTATTTGAAGAACTGGATTTTCATTTATCTTCATGAAAAATTAAAAGGTGGAAGGACAAATGTCACCCATGGTGAAATGGAATGGGGGGATAAATCCAAAAGGCAGCTGCTTTCCAGGTGGATGCCCATTACAGCATTAGCAATTTCAGAAATCACAATATGCCTTAGTATTTTGTTCTGTCCCAGGCACCTGTCTAGTCACAGTAGCTGGTGACAAGTGAAAATTTGCAACCACTGATTCAGGCTTGAGGCTACTAGGTAGACCATTGAGAACAATTTTATACCTAGATCCATTTGTCAGCATGTTCCTTACATTCCAGGGGTGAGGAATG